CCCGCCTCCCCCCCCCAAAACCCGTTCATCTCCCCCCAGCCCTTTGTCTTATTACTTTCACATGGAAGTTTAGGCAAATTCAGTTTGTTTTTGGCATAGCTGGGGAGAGGCAGAATACCAGTCCATCATCTGAAATTGAATCTTTGTCTATATGCAATAGTTTAAAACACTGGTATAATTAAAATGGTAAATGTCCTTGTAGTATAAGCAGAGTTATTTGGATATAAAAATGCCGAGACACACATTTGTGCTGATGCAGCTGTATGGTTAGGGTTGGCACTATAAAAATATTTTGGTTTAAAAGAAAAAGTACACCCCAAATCTACAATAGTTATAGAGTACACCATCCTAATGGACCTTCTGTTAAGTTCTTCAACTGTCACCTTCAGTTAATCTTTGTTAGAATACACCTTGCTGGTACAGTCAAAGTTGTTTAGGATCACTGTATTGTCATGCTTTTCCTCATGGAACTTCTCTTTATTTTCTTTTCAAACATCTACCTGGGGGCGTGGGGGATGGAATCCTCAAGTTTCTTGAAATAAAGTTGTTGAACGGAGTTCTCAAAACTCAGGTAATAGCCTCTATTGATAGTATCTACTGATTGACGATATATATACTGAAAGAGTTTATGAATTGATAATTTCATCATTGATGCATTCTGTAATCAGGTTCTACTAATTAGAGGTTAATGTTTGATACACTATTGACTGATACCAATTGATAGACAATCTATTAATAGACTTGTGTTCATAGGCAAAATAGAGTCTGTTTATTGATAGGAGTTATTACAGCTTTATATTAAAACTCCAATAATGTGTTAATAAACAGAATAGGGTCTACTGATTAGAATCTGTTAATATTGCATATTAAAACTCTGTTAACAGATTAACAGAAATTCAGTATGCAGCCTTTCAACATTGCCCCTGTGCCATATCTGGGACATAAGCAGTCCCTACTGAAGTTGAGAATCTCCGTTGAGTTCAACTGGAATTGGATCAAGCCCTTGCTTTCTGAGTCTGTCTTCATACTTCCTTAAGTCGGGGACAGTCGAGAGTGCTGGGCATTATAGGCAGGACTAGAGTTTTTTCTGCTTTATTCATTTCATTGCTTTGCATACAGCAATTAAAACAGTAGGGGGAGCAGTTCTTCCTCCCCCTACCAAAGTGTCAGGAGCTTTGAGAGAATGTGGTGTTGTTTATAACAATGTGGGAGAAGCTCCCTCCTGGTCCACCCTCATGACAACTATAGAACTGGGTGTTTAGGAAAATAGTTTCTTTGTTCTTCTCTGTTCTGCCAAGGTATCATGGCAGTTGCAGACATCTGGTGTTGAGCATGGTCTGTGCTGTTGTTGTTTTACTGGAGCAAAGAATATGTATTTCCTTGTATTCTATTTGGGATGTTGAACGTCTGCTACCATAGCCTATTCATTTGAGATTTTTCAACAGAAGCTAAATCCCCACAACCTGTGTAGCATCACTAAGACAAGGTGGCCTAGTGGAGATGAAGTCAACTGACTTTAGTTCTCTTCTCACTTCTGCCACTGATTTGATGTATTACTGCAGGCGGGTCACTTCACTTTGGTGCAACTGTTTTTCCTGAAACCCACTGTCTAAAATGAAAGGGGAGAACTTTTCTCAGCAGTGCATGCATCTTATTGCATATTTTAATGCTTGGTTTAGTTTATTTCTAGCTTATGTCTAGATGTAGTATTGGTGTAACTATTTCAGTTAGACAGTGGTATATTTTTTTTAATGCTACAAAACCTAGTTGTAGATGCTAATAATGGGATTTTTTACCACCTATAGGATGAAGATAGTAGAACAAATAAGCTAACTCTATACTGATAATAGCCCAACCACTAGGCCTCTTCCCCTTCAGTC